CGATGGTTGTAGCAGCAATGGGTGTGGTGGTAATGGTGGTAACTATTGCAGTTATGGTGGTAGTTGCAGCAGTAATAGCTGAATAGAAGAAAATCTATCATACGTGAATGGCTTAAGTAGCCTTAAGAGTTAGATAGTTTAAAATGTATCTGAAATTATGAGGTAAGTGTGCGGGTGTGTGTGTGTGTGTGCGCGCGCGTGTGTGTGCGCGCGCGTGTGTGTGCGCGCGCGCGTGTGCGTGCGCGATCTGACTCCTACTATATTACTAATAGCATAATAAGAATAAGTGTCACTCTGGCTTTATAATATATAATGACTTTATAATGTTAAATGTGGCGGTGCCAGGTGATGGTGCCAAAAAATCGTCGTGGGGGTCTGAATGTGTCCTTGGAACGCTGTTCTCTTTTGAATTCTGGCAACCCCCGACCAGCCTATGTTCACCCCATACCGCAGACTATTCCTTCTGCCAATTTGGGTGAGGCTAGCCCCAAGCATCTGGCGTCTTAGAGAGCCATTCTTTCTGTATAATAGATATATTTTTGCATAGGCTCTCGTGTTGTGTATGTGTTTTTTATGGGGGGGGGAGGAGGTATTAATGTGTGGTTTTATAGATGGGTTTTTTCTCTCTTTTTCCACTTCCTCTTTCTCCTCTTCCCCCTCTTCTTCTCCTCCTCCTGCACCTCTTTCCTCCTGAGGTCTAAACTGACCTGACCGACACAGCGCACCTTTGGACTCTACCGTGAGAGCTGAAACTCTCCCTAATTGTGTACTGTCACACCCTTGTGTCGTTCGTGTTGACGGCCGTGCTGTGTTGACGGCCGTGCTGTGTTGACGGCCGTGCTGTGTTGACGGCCGTGCTGTGTTGACGGCCGTGCTGTGTTGCAGGCCGTGCTGTGTTGACGGCCGTGCTGTGTTGACGGCCGTGCTGTGTTGACGGCCGTGCTGTGTTGCAGGTCGTGCTGTGTTGACGGCCGTGCTGTGTTGACGGCCGTGCTGTGTTGCAGGTCGTGCTGTGTTGACGGCCGTGCTGTGTTGCCGGCCGTGCTGTGTTGCAGGCCGTGCTGTGTTGACGGCCGTGCTGTGTTGCAGGCCGTGCTGTGTTGACGGCCGTGCTGTGTTGACGGCCGTGCTGTGTTGCAGGCCGTGCTGTGTTGCAGGCCGTGCTGTGTTGCACGGCCGTGCTGTGTTGCAGGCCGTGCTGTGTTGCAGGCCGTGCTGTGTTGACGGCCGTGCTGTGTTGCAGGCCGTGCTGTGTTGCAGGCCGTGCTGTGTTGCAGGCCGTGCTGTGTTGCAGGCCGTGCTGTGTTGCAGGCCGTGCTGTGTTGCAGGCCGTGCTGTGTTGCAGGCCGTGCTGTGTTGCAGGCCGTGCTGTGTTGACGGCCGTGCTGTGTTGACGGCCGTGCTGTGTTGCAGGCCGTGCTGTGTTGCAGGCCGTGCTGTGTTGACGGCCGTGCTGTGTTGACGGCCGTGCTGTGTTGCAGGCCGTGCTGTGTTGCAGGCCGTGCTGTGTTGACGGCCGTGCTGTGTTGACGGCCGTGCTGTGTTGACGGCCGTGCTGTGTTGCAGGCCGTGCTGTTTTGACGGCCGTGCTGTGTTGCAGGCCGTGCTGTGTTGACGGCCGTGCTGTGTTGCAGGCCGTGCTGTGTTGACGGCCGTGCTGTGTTGCAGGCCGTGCTGTGTTGACGGCCGTGCTGTGTTGCAGGCCGTGCTGTGTTGCAGGCCGTGCTGTGTTGACGGCCGTGCTGTGTTGACGGCCGTGCTGTGTTGACGGCCGTGCTGTGTTGCAGGCCGTGCTGTGTTGACGGCCGTGCTGTGTTGCAGGCCGTGCTGTGTTGCAGGCCGTGCTGTGTTGACGGCCGTGCTGTGTTGACGGCCGTGCTGTGTTGCAGGCCGTGCTGTGTTGACGGCCGTGCTGTGTTGCAGGCCGTGCTGTGTTGCAGGCCGTGCTGTGTTGACGGCCGTGCTGTGTTGCAGGCCGTGCTGTGTTGACGGCCGTGCTGTGTTGCAGCCCTGCTAGGTGCAGTGGACGACACCACATGAAAATTTGTAAGTGAAGGAACTCTGTCCACTTTTGTCCGGGCGCCTGAGAACTATGTGAGTAATATTTGGGTCGGTATTTTTGTCATATTTTGTGTCTCATTTTGCTGCTGTGATGGTGTTGGTCTGTGGCATGTTGTGGGCGTCTGTCACAGACCTGTTTCAGACCTCTTCGGTCCGGGTTTTAGGTCGTGTAAAGACTGTAATACAGACCAGATCCAACTTCCATCCCTCCTCTCTCCCTCTCCTTCAATCCCCCCTCCCTCCCTCCCTCCCGTCTCCATCCCCTTCCCTTTAACCCTCCCTCCCTCAATCAGCACTCCCTCCCGTCTCCACCCCCTCCTCTCCTATCGTTCCTTCCCTCCTCCTTCCTCTACCCCTCCCTTCTGCTTACCCCTCTTCCCCCCATCCCCCCCTCCCTCAATAATCCCCCCCCCCATGAAGATCAACCCCCTTCGACCTGGGACTGACCTTCAGGGGTCTTGATCGACCTGGGCCTGCAGGTCTCAAGGGCTTCTGATCGACCTGTGATCGACCAAGATATCTAGATATTCTCATAGATCACAACACACAAACATACCACAATCCCAAATTACATAAACCAATTATATTCAAACAAAAGACAATCAAATATTAACATTAGCCTCCACCTGGAAAACCTTCACCAGAGGTAAAAAAAGGGCCAGAACAAGCAAGAATCCCTTTGTTTACCTTTGATCAGCTGATCTGAAAAAAATGAAGAAATATGATTGGCTCGCTGGCAGTGACGTCATGGAGATAACGACGGACCAATGATATGTCAATATTTCGTCTGAGTCAACGTGATTATGCTCTCCGGCGCTGCAAGTGAGGAAGTTTGTCTGTTTCAATAGTTGTGGAGCTGGTTGGGCATCTGGGTAGCTAGGTGGCTGATTGGCCAGCTATAGTTGACTGATGCTTGACTGACTGGCTGGGCTGGTTGAATGACTGGCTTGGCTGGTTGAATGACTGGCTTGGCTGGTTGAATGACTGGCTTGGCTGGTTGAATGACTGGCTTGGCTGGTTGAATGACTGGCTTGGCTGGTTGAATGACTGGCTTGGCTGGTTGAATGACTGGCTTGGCTGACTGGGCTGGCTGGCTGACAGACATACAGGATGGCTGACTATTGCTGGCTTGTTGTGTATATGAAAACTGTATTTTTTAACTGTGTATCTCTCTTAAAAAGAGTCCGTCTGGGCCACATACACTGTGTATGACTGGCATACAGTCTTACGTGTTGGTATAACGGTGTGTTATAGGTGAATACACACACACACACACACACACACACACACACACACACACACACACACACACACACACTGGAAAAACTGGAAAAGGTTCAAAGGTTTGCCACCAGACTAGTACCCGAGCTGAGAGGTATGAGCTACGAGGAGAGACTACGGGAATTAAACCTCACTTCGCTGGAAGACAGAAGAGTTAGGGGGGACATGATCACCACATTCAAGATTCTGAAGGGGATTGATAGGGTAGATAAAGACAGTCTATTTAACACAAGGGGAACACGCACAAGGGGACACAGGTGGAAACTGAGTGCCCAAATGAGCCACAGAGATATTAGAAAGAACTTTTTTAGTGTCAGAGTGGTTGACAAATGGAATGCACTAGGCAGTGATGTGGTGGAGGCTGACTCCATACACAGTTTCAAGTGTAGATATGACAGAGCCCGATAGGCTCGGGAATCTGTACACCTGTTGATTGACGGTTGAGAGGCGGGACCAAAGAGCCAGAGCTCAACCCCCGCAAACACAACTAGGTGAGTACAACTAGGTGAGTACACACACGGTTGGAAGCTTCCCCCTCCCCCCCCGCCCCCGTAAAAAAAATCAGAAATATAAAAATACAATAATCGACGATTGAAGACCATCACACGAAAAAATGTATTTTTTTTTTTGTAGGAAGATGGCACACCGGTTGGGAGGCTGGGAGAACTACCTTCCCCCTCCAGTGCCAAATGGCACTAAGAGGGGTAGGGAATGTCCTGCAAATGACAGGATAGGGCTGAGGATCTCTCTCTCTCTAGCCCTTACGGTGCTGTGGGATGGGGGATGAGGGAGGGGGGATGGAAAGAGGGAGGGGGGGGGGGGGGAGAGAAGATAGCACGATATTTCCGTGAGAGGAAATTCGTGTTGATTTGGGAGAAAATTTCCCTATTGAGGATTCAAATGTCTGAACCTTTCTCCCCACCACCCACCACATTCCCGACAGGAATCTCATTTCTTGATCTTCTAGCAAAACAACCCATATAACCTTCCCTTTAACGCCTCCCCCTTCTCACCCCCCTAACTTTTTGACCCTCCCACTCCTACCCCTAACCTCCAAACCCCCAACCCCCCACTAACTCCCCTCCCCCCCCCCCAATAGACCAGGACGAACGGTGACCTCGATATGAGAGTGTGACCTAGGCACTGTACCCGTCACAATTACAGTAGCCCCCTGCTTGAGAACGCACTCAAGCTAGAGAATGCACTCAAGCGCACTCAAGCGCACTCAAGCTAGAGAACGCACTACAGTAGAGCACTCAAGCTTGAGAACGCATAGAGAACGCACTGTATTGTACCCTTTAAACAAGGCTCAATGCCAGAGTCATCATTTGCCTCTCTCTCTCTCTCTCTCTCTCTCTCTCTCTCTCTCTCTCTCTCTCTCTCTCTCTCTCTCTCTCTCTCTCTCTCTCTCTCTCTCTCTCTCCCTCCCTCCCTGCCACCCCTGCCCCACAGGGCCCACCACAACGTTACTCACAAGTCCTTTGAAATATGTTTAACATCAAATAAAAATGCAAAGTTGAATTTAGATAGGTGTTGGAGTAATGTTGGAGCTTGCAGTGTTGGAGATAATCATCCGGGGGGGAAAGATGTGATATTTTAGCTCGGGAATGCAAGGGTAGGAAACTGCTGGCTATATATTCTGGTGGTGGAGAGGGAGAGAGAGAGAGAGAGAGAGAGAGAGAGAGAGAGAGAGAGAGAGAGAGAGAGAGAGAGAGAGAGAGAGAGAGAGAGAGAGAGAGAGAGAGAGAGAGAGAGAGAGAGAGAGAGAGGACGGGAATAAAACCTGACGTGATCTGGAGAATATAGACGCGCGTGTGAAAGCTTCTGTTAAGATTTGCATCATAGTAAGTAACGGAGGGGCGGCGACTGGAGGAGAGGTCCAAGTTGTGTTGCGAGGTCCCAAATGTTGTTTTTGTGTTTATTGAGATGTAAGTTGAGGGCGGGGGGAGTGGTAGTGGGGGTGGTAGATGGTGGTGGTTGGTGAAGAGAGAGAGAGAGGGTGAGTGGTCACCACTACCAGTTCACCGGGGTTACAAATAACATCTCGATGGTCAAAGGTCACATCAGGGTTTTTTTTTGGTAAAACCAAAAAAAAAAAAATATTAAATTTAAATTTCAGAAACACAATAGGAATTCATATACTACAAATCGTGTTGATTGATTAATATAATATAAATAATCTTTAAAAAGTAGTTCAATATCAACAGTTCAATATATTGTATAAATGCCCGTTCTCTTGATTTCATCAATCATTTTAATATATTCTTCTAATACTACAGGTCATTGCGCCTTAAATGATCCAACACGATTCACTACACAAGGGG